CTGGTAAATATCCATCAATCGCGATCCCTCGCAGATTGCAGTAATGCTTGGCAACTGAGCCGTGGATATCATAGGTGCTAAATCAGCAGGCGCTTCTTTAATCATGTTACGTATTGGGAAAGTTAGCTTACCAATAAACGAATCCAAAGGTTTTGCCTATAAATCATGTGAACCAGAACGAACACTGCCAACGGAATCCATTAATGGCCGTGTGCAAGTCCCAGCAACTTGTTTGAGGCTTCTGGAAAGCGAAGATACACAACCCCTCGGGACCTGATTGAGGAAGCATCTGAAAAGACTTTAACCAAAGGAACACATGTGCATACCGAATGTAGCATTGTTCTGCATTACGCTACCGTAAGCATGTTTCATGAGACGATAGATGTTAAGCCGAGAGCCACCAGTATAAGGTCTTCGAGGTCGGCGAGGCGTAACTACAAACTTTCACCGCGATAGCAATGGCGAGAAAATGTCCGATATATGGTTTTCTGGTACAGTTAAACAAACGTTCAGTGTGGGAATAATCAAACCTATAACATTAATTGAATACCATTTTTCGTTGCCCGTTATAGCAGAACTAACTGTACAGTTTTCTTCACATTTAGTCATTATTTCACGAGTGACCAAAAAGACTCCCAAATGAGACGCTGGACCGTCCACCTGTGTGAACAGGGCTACCGCCGTACTCACTTATCGTATACTAACTGGGCGGATCGGCCCAGATGTATCCTAGCTTTTTCATCCTGCTCAGTTACCTACTCTTCGTGGGCATCCGTTGAAGTTAAACAAATTCCGATCTAATCGGGTTCCAACTGACGCCCGTTTGTCGCATAGAGTGACAGATTCCTGGAATGCGCTACCTGAGGACGTCTTATTGTCATCCACTATGCCGGAGTTTAAACCGCCTTGAAGCCGAAACCCTCATCTAGTAGCTCCGAATCTTCCTTTTCTCTCTAATTCTTATTTTGATTGCTCTTCAGTTCCTTACCATCTTAATTGAACTAACTTCCTCTTCAAATTTTGTATCTTTCACACTTAATGCCTAGACTACACTTTTGCTCTTCCCTTTTTATTGCACGTATTGTCAGCGTAGGCTTGAATCTGTTAGGGGATGGGGCGCGTGGGTCTTGATTGGTTGACCACAACATGCTCTGCAGTACTGATTTGGCTCTTAAATTGGCCAGAGTAAGCACCCGAACTCAAACGTGGATCACCGACGCATTCATCATCATCATCATCATCATCATCATCATCATCATCATCATCATCATCATCATCATCATCATCATCATCATCATCATCATCATCATCATCATCATCATCATCATCATCATCATCATCATCATCATCATCATCATCATCATCATCATCATCATCATCA